TGAGGGGGGACTCTTTCAGGCGGACACATGAGTGGAGGGCGCGGTTCCTTTAAGAGTGCCGCCGCCGCCATGATCTGCTTGGTGCTGGCGGTCTTCGCCAGCGTCTTCCATAGCGGTAAGTCCGGCGTCCTTCCTTTTTCTCCAGTTCTCCTTTTTTCCCCCCTCCCCTTCCTCCTTTTTTATCCTTTCCCTTCAACCCCCCACCCCTTTCCCCTTTTTTCTCCTCCCTCCTTTCTACCCTTTCCCCCGCCCTCCACCCCCCTTTTTTTTCCCCTCTCCCTGCCCCCTTTTTCTTCTTCCTCCCCTTCTCCTTTTTCTGCCCCCTTTTTCCCTTTCTCCCCTCCTTTCCCTCCACCTGACACCCATGCCTTCTCGCAGCTCGCTCCGGTATCTCCGAGCGCACCTTCATCGCCATCAAACCGGACGGCGTCCAACGGCACCTGGTGGGTGAGATCGTGCGGCGCTTCGAGAGGAAGGGCTTCAAGCTGGTGGGGTTGAAGCTGCTGCAGGTGCGAGGGTCGGGCGGGGCTCTCGGTGTGCCCCGGCACGCGGGAGGGGTTCCATGCCTTGTCAGGAGGCTGCAGGGCCGTGTGTTGTGTGTAGGCTTCGGAGGAGCTGCTGAAGGAGCACTACATCGACCTGCGGGACCGGCCCTTCTATGGCCGCCTGGTGAAGTACATGAGCTCGGGGCCAGTGGTGGCCATGGTGAGTGCTAGGGGGAATGGGTGAGGAGGGCTCCATCTGAGGGCCTCTGGGAGCTGTGCTGGTATAGAGGATGCGGTTTGATTTCAGGGTGAGCCGTTGGAGCTGATTCTGTTTGCTGCTGTGTAGGTGTGGCAGGGTCTGGATGTGGTGAGGATGGCACGCACGATGATTGGAGAGACCAACCCGGCTGAGTCCAAGCCTGGCACCATCCGAGGAGACTTCTGCATTGAAGTTGGCAAGTGAGTCTGGCTTCTTGTGCCCTGAGTGTTGCTGTGTATTCCTGTCCTTGCATTCCTGCCCAAGCCCTGCGAGGCTGCATCAGCAGAGCAAAGTTCAGATCACTCAGGTATTGACATTGGACATGGTGACCTGGGTTGGTTTTGCCAGAAGGGAGCAACCTGGGTTTAGGTCTCTCATGCTTCCTGAGGCTTCTTCTCCCTTGGGCCGAGGGGTTTGCTTGACAGGGAATCAGGACTGTCAGGCTGTGAAGAGGCACGGAGGAGCCCTGAGCCCTCTCCTGGAGGCTGCCCAGCTCTGCCAGGCATCCGAGTTTGAAACAAAAGCCAAGCTGCAGTTCTGCAATCATAAGGGCTTCTCACCACTGCGTATTGTCCAGTGGTGACCTCTGGTGGCTGCAGCTGAACCTGGCTTGTGGTAGTTACTCTTACTAACCTTCCTGGCTTAGGTTTTCATTCCTTGGTGTCTGACACAGAGCCTGCTTTACAGGACCTGCTTTCACTGAAAGAAGTGAGAAACGTGGAGGCAAATCAATGGTAAACCTTTAAAACAAACAAAAAAACCCTCCTCAGATAAACAGCCACTTGCAGCTCCTTCGTAGCACATAAATAATTTCTCCTTACAGGAGGGAGGGCTGCTGGAAATTGACAGCTCCTACACATCCTAAGCCATGTTCTCCTGAGCAAGAAGGAGGAGAGCTGGGTGATGGAAAAGAATACTGTACAATGTGACTGCCTTGGCAGGCTTAATTAAATCAGTTGGAGTGAAACTTTCCCGGCTGCAGCTTCCCTCCTCAGCCTTTCTCTACTTACTGCAAGCCTGATCTCTTTCTTGTTCCCCACAGGAATGTGATTCATGGCAGTGACTCGGTTGAGAGTGCCCAGAAGGAGATCTCCCTCTGGTTCCGCCCAGAGGAGCTGATGTGCTGGGAGGATGCAGCTGAACGATGGATCTACGAGTGATGACACAGCCTGAGGGAAGTACATCTTCCTGACCTGGGCATGGGGCATTTTCATTAGTTCCATTTTGGCCCCTCAGGCTGGCTGTGGATTCTGTTGTGGTATCACATGCTGAGAGTTTCTCTTTTGTGTGTCTGTGGAGGGGCCCTGGGAGCTGGTCTTTATGTTTGTAACTCAGCAGTTCAGCTCCCTGCAATAGTAGCTTTTTTTTTTTTTTTTTTTCCCCCCTCCATCCCCTGTAGTAAGTAGTTAAAGTTGCTGCTCAGTTTGCTGCAGCATCCCAAAGTCTTTAAGTGGTTCAAGGTAATTTATAAAGGAGAGTGAAAGCTGGGCTCTGTGCCTGTCACTGTGCTGGCAGGCCTACCAGGCACAGAGGGACACGTGCTCCTAGCCCTGGGGAGGTGCACTGCTCACTGCAGGGTACAGGCACTGTCATCCACTTGCATTTTGGTGCAGTCCCTCACCAGAGGCTTTTAAAGAAGTGAGCTGCCGAGGTATAAAGCGGAAAGGGCAGAGGCTGGTGACTAGGGCTGACCCAGCCTGGTGACACTCATCACTTTAATGTGTCCCTTGTGTGCAGGGCAGAAGTAGCCTCTGGAGGAGGAGGCTCATTAGTCGGGCTCCTGCTGTGAGTTTTCACTTCTGGAGGCTTCCTGACTTTCAGTGACAGCAAGGCCTGTCACTGGAGAGGCTCAGAGCCACTTGTTTGAATGTATTCCTGAGTCCCGTTTTTGCCTGCTGTCCCTCTTTATTTTCACACCGCCGTCCATTTCATTCAGCTGTTCCTGAGCCCTCTGCACAGCCTGCCAAAATATAAAGGCAGTGACTGTGGCACTGCATTCTGCTGTGGAGCAGGGGTCTGGTGAAACCTGAGGGAAAAAGGGTTTTGTTGCATGTAGACTGAGATACTTTGCTCGTGTTCTGCAAGCTCATCTCCCTCTTGAACTAGAAAGATTTGTATCTTATGGGGCACGAGTGCAGTTCCCCAGCTCCCACTTCTACCTGAAGGCTGGCCTGGGGTGGTGGGACTGAGCAGAGAAATACCAGAAGTAATGGAGAGAAGGGACTTGGGACTTCCGTGATTAACTGTGGCTTTCCTTTGCAGTCCAGTGGCAACACACAGCATTTCTGATAGCCAGAGCACCTCATGCCTTCAGGGCCTTCTCCAAATGGTTGGTTACAGCTCTAATCATCTAAAGAGATCATTTGTTCCCACAAATCATCCCGTGTGTTTTTATTTATAATAAACTCTGGAGAGTTCCATCTCTTCTGGTTGTTGCTGGGCGAGTGGGAGGTGGCTCTAGGTGAGCACTCACAGGAATGTGAGCTAGAGCCAGTTTTTCTCATGGAACTGTGCTGCTAGTGGTAGCTTTCTTTTGTTTTTTTTTTTTTTATTGCCCCAGAGATGCACAGGCAAGGCAACTAATGGGGAAGGAGCCACAGTTTGTCAAGATATTAAAATAACTCAGGAAGGCAATTATAAGGGAAGTTGTATTCAGATGCATTGTATTCTGTGTGTTCAGATTAATGACCAACAACTGGTAACTAGCAAAGGCAATCTGCAGTCTTATTCCTAATTTTCACTACTTTGCTATTCTGTTGCCCCATCTATTGTCACATGCATTTCTTAAGTTATTTGACAAAATAAACCTGAGCTTGTTTGAACACCTGGGACCTGGAAGAACAGTTGTTCTCATATCTGCTCTGATGCAGAGCCTGTGATGATGGCTGTGGTTGGGCAGTGGCTGAAGGAGTCCCTCTTTTACATTTTATTTCTGGTTCTGGAGGAAGCAATGGGCTTCCATATAAAGTCCAATGGGCTTCCAAATACTGTCCTCAGGAGCATGTGGCCGTGGGACCAAACTGTCCTGGTTGGACTCCTCAAGGACTTGAAGGAGTGGCATACAACTGTGCTCGGGAGGGTTGGGAAAAGGTTCTGCACCAGAGGGTGGTGGGCACAGCCCTGAGCTGCTGGAGCTCACAGAGTATTTGAACACCACTCTCAGATGTAGGGTTTGGGTAGTCCTATGCAGAGCCAGGGGTTGGACCCAATGATCCTTGTAGGTCCCCTCCATTCAGGAGATGAGGAAACGTTGAGGGAACTGGGCTTGTTTAGCTTGGAGAAGAGAAGGCTCTGGGGAAACCTCACTGTGGCCTTCCAGTACTTGAAAGGAGCATTTAAACAGAGAGGGGAACAGCTGTTTACAAGGGTGGATAGCAATAGGACAATAGGGAATAGTTTTAAACTGAGACAGGGGAGGTTTAGGTTGAATATTAGGAGGAGGTTTTTCACCCAGAGGGTGGTGAGGCACTGGCACAGGTTGCCCAAGGAGGCTGTGGGTGCCCCATCCCTGCAGGCATTCAAGACCAGGTTGGATGTGGCTCTGGGCAGCCTGGGCTGGTGATTGGCGACCTGCACACAGCAGGGGGTTGGAACTGGATGAGCACTGTGCTCCTTTGCAACCCAGGCCATTCTATGACTGTGTGCTAATAGATTACTAGAAGGTTGAGACTCGAGCTAACTGCCTTTCCAACAGCCCGCTGTCAAACGGACAATCTCCAGAGTACTTACAGCAACAGAAGGCACCAGCAGCTGATGTTATGCCATTTATTAGCTACGGACCCAGCACGGCTCAGTGACGGAGTACAGAAAGCCCTCACGCGGCAGCGGACTGACCCAGAGCGCTGTCTGAAGACGACACACCGAACTCCGCAGCGCTTACAAACCTTTTGCAGCACGCAGCATCGTTTCCGTGAATGGCAGCAGGGAGGCGGGCTGCAGCCTAGTATCCCGGCAGCTGCTGCCCTTTGATCTCGTACATCTCTCGGAGGTATAACGCACAGCAGAGCTCGGTGGTCGAGGCCGCGGACAGACAGGTAACACATCGGCCTGACGGTACAACCCGACACCCAGCACAGCCCCGCGCGCCGCCGCCATCTTACCTCCCCTCAGCGCAGGGGCTGCCGGGATGGGGCCAGTCCAACAGCGATTGGTCTTCTCTCATCACGTGACGCCCGCGCTCACTTCCTACCCGTCGTCCCTTTTGGGCGTGACGACAGACGACGCGCCGATTGGCCGCGGCGGCGCGCGGCTTTGTGACGCCACTCGGCTACAGCGTGAGGGCAGCGCCCCTGTTGTGTGACGTCAGAGCGGGGCTCGGTACGGCCGGGAGCCCCGCGGCGGTTCGGGCCTGCGGCTGCGGTGAGTGCGGGCGGGCGGCGATCCCGGCCCCGGCCTCCTCTGCACCGCGAGCCGACCTCGGGGCCTCCCCTCGGCTTCCCCTCGATGCTGGGGCCCGCTCGGTGCCGGCTCCCCATCAGCGCCGCCGTCTCCGGTGGGAAGCGGGAGCTGTCCGTTAGCGGCGGGTCGCGCCCGTGCAACGACCGTTCGGGGGCTGCGGGGCCGCCCGGCTGCGGGTTGAGGGGCCGCGGTGCTCGGCTGCCGCCGTGCCGGAGGTGTCGCGGCTAAGCGGTGTCGCGGAGGGGCTGCCGCGTTCAGGAGGGTTCACTTCTCCGTTTTGTTTTCCCCTTCTTCTTTCTTTCTCAAGCGTTTGCAGTGCGTGCCGATAACGCGAGGTCGTGTCGTTCGCTGCGAAAACTTCAAGATCGGGAGGACCCGTTCGATTTCCAGCATCCTCCCGTGCCTTCCGCTGGCCGCCGAGACCCTCATGTGCGTGTGCAGCTGGGGCAGAGACGCGCCGATGCCGTGGGAGCTGTGCCATGAGCGCTGGTGAGCTGTGGCCGTCGCCATGACGGAGCCCCACCGGGTTCTGTTCACCACCCTGCACGGCCCGTTGAGCAGCAGTTTCCTGAAGAAGCCTCGCAAGGACGATGCCGAGCAGTCCCCAGAGGCGGAGCAGCCTGGGGAGACCGTGCGGCTGTCGCTCACTCTCTTCGAGCCGGATCACAAGCGCTGTCCGGAGTTCTACTACCCAGATCTTCTGAAGAACAGCCAAGTGAAAAGAAAAGGGTCTTCAGGAGACAAAGTGAGCATCCTCGTGGTCGGTTTATCTGAAGGTTTCCAAAAGTTTTGCGTTGTTGCTCTCTTAATGCTGAAGGGAGAGATGGGAGAGCATTACCTGCGAGGTGCTGAGAGGGGAGCTGATGGGTCAGACACTGTGCAGGCTCAGAGCTGGGAGCCATGTGTTCCTGTTGTTGGGACACTCTTCTTGTTCCACTCTGTTACTCCTTCATCTTTGTTGCTATTGCACATCAAAAGGGTGATGTGCAGCATGTTTGGCTCATTGTGTTGTGCTGCTTGTTATTTAATAGTGCCCAGTTAGAGAAAGTATCAAAAAGAGTGATCCTCTGTAACAGAGTGCTGTATCTTTTTTGGGGACTTTGCTTCGTCTTATATGACTCAACTGACACAGGGGAGGTTTAGGTTAGATATTAGGAAGTTTTTCACCCAGAGGGTGGTGAGGCACTGGAACAGGTTGCCCAAGGAGGCTGTGGATGCTCCAGCCCTGCAGGCATTCAAGGCCAGGCTGGATGTGGCTCTGGGCAGCCTGGGCTGCTGGTTGGCGACCTGCACACAGCAGGGGGCTGGAACTGGGTGAGCACTGTAGTCCTTTTCAACCCAGGCCATTTTATGATTCTATGACTCTTTCCACTAGATCCCTGTTTAATGGCCCTGATGCTTTCAGGTGTTCCCTGATAACTCTGCTTTCTTCTTGAAGGCCATTTTTTTGGGATACAGTCGTACGCTAACTTTTGTGGCATTTAAGCTTTGTGTTATGGACATCTTTCTGTCAGAAAGTAGTTATTGAAAGGAACTTTTTCACACTGTGATGTGAAGGAGTTCTGGTCTCCCAAGTCTTTCAGCACCATTCCTGCTGCTTCTGACATCAGTGCTGGTGATGCCTGAGAAAGTTGATTGGATTCCATTTGCTTTTGCTGCTGATTTTCAGTTCTATTTGGTACTCAGTTGATGAGGGTTCATACTGTTTTCTGGGGAATCAGGAGAAGCAGAAACAGCTATAGAACTACCTGAGGGTGCACACAAAACCCAGAGACTGCAGCAAAGCAATAAATGCTTGTCATCCAGTAAGGATCAGTGTAAGGACAGGTTCCTCTTATGTCTGCCTGCTGAAGCTCGTTCACATGAACTCAAGGGTAGCTGGAGAAGAGAAGGGAGATGCCCCTGGATCTGATTGTTGAACAGCAATGATACAAAAGAAGAGGGATTTACATACAATCTGGAGATCTGTGGTAGGGTACCATCTCACCACCCTCTTGTTACTTTTCTGGGAGAGAGTTGAGAGAGGAAACCATTCATTCCATTTCCTTGGTTTATCACTGTCTCAAAGAAATCTTATTTTTCTTACCTAGCAGAGTTCTGGTTACATTTCCAACCCTTCTGCATGCTTGTTTCTAGGTGACTTATTCCAAGAATAATAGCACTCTGGGAATACTGCATTAAAGGTTGATTTGGCTGAGCTTGTGCCTGGAAGCTCGTGCTGGTCATGATAGGTTTAATGCACACGTAACGGGGCTTTGGTGGCAGGGTGACAGGATTGGTTCTGATGGTTTTTGTCTCTCTTTTCTGCAGAGGAAAGAACCTGCTGATCCCTTTGATGATGAAAAGGAGAGACATAAAGCGGAGGCTCTTGCTAGGAAGTTTGAAGAAAAATATGTATGTTTGTCGTCTTTGTATCGTGTTATCCCTTAGAATGGGTAATGCTGCTCAGCTCTCACCCCAAATTGTTTTAACAGAAGTTAGCAGTTGTTAGCTATATGTCCCTATCTTCCTGTTAGCTTCACGTCCCTACCAAGTCTGTTACCTTGGTCCAAGGATACTGTTGATACTTTTTTTTCTGTTTCTAGGCTGTGATTTACTAAAACAGTTCTGCTACGTTCCTAAAACCGATGACAGCCTGATTATAGTGAATAATATTTTCCCTTGTGGCAGATTTCCACCCTTAATTTATAAGATGTATCCTGTTTTTAAGCAAAAAGAAGTATTTTCTAAGCCTTGCAGTCATGATGTGGTGTAGCCTCTCATGTCTCTAAGAACAGCTCTGAGTTTGCTGTCAGCACTGATGAGTTCAGTGGAAGGGAAGCTGATCCGCCTTGCCCATTTCCTTGTTGCTCTTCCTCTCACTTTGCTCCTGTAGATGACAATAAAGCAATGTTACGTTTTACAGCCAGTGCTTTTGGTTATGTGAGTTGCTTTATTGTCTTGTGATACGAATTGGACCTGTTGGTCATCTCAATGCATTGTGTGCGTGGTTGGTGCCCGTAGTGTGGGGTTTGTACTGGCTCTGTGACAGTTATGGAAGAACAACCATTCTGCACTGGCAGAACTGTTCAAGGGATGCAGACCCAGTTCAAAATCAAGCCTACTGGCACAAAGCCGACCTGTCTGTTGGGACAGCATTTTATTGCATATGAGTGCACTGTTCTTGATTCTGTATGACGAAGCATAAAACTGGATTTATTGTGCCCTTAGATTAGCATGTGATGTGGGTCAGTGACGGTTCCGTCCTCCTGCTGCTCCTAGGAGGCAGAAAGCTTTCCTGTACTGGAGAGAATGTTAGAGTCCTACGTCAGGGCTATCCCTGTGGTCATTAGAAAAGAAAGATGAGCATACCATCAATCTTTTATTGTTTAGGGTGGCAAGAGACGTAGAAAGGACCGTTTTCAGGACTTGATTGATATGGGGTATGGATACGACGAATCTGACTCCTTCATTGATAATTCTGAAGCAGTGAGTACTTGGGCAGGTGTGAGGGTGGTTAAATTCAGCTGCCTGGGGGGGGCTGAGCTGGCATCTGGGGAGAACATGAATGTAGTGCCAGCAGGGAGCGTGCCAGGGCTGGGTAACGAGAGCTCCTGCAGCAGCTGCCTGACAGGAGAGGCCAGTTAGCACAAGTGTCCACTGCCCTGCCTGTTCCCTGGGGGAGCACGAGTCCCACTCCATCCTCCAAGCAGCTCAAAGTGCAGAATAAAATAAATTCTGTGATGATTCTTTGAATATAAATTTACAGTGCTAATAGATTGTTCTCTCTTATTTCTAGTACGATGAGCTCGTTCCGGCTTCTCTTACTACAAAGTATGGAGGGTTTTACATCAACACAGGAACGCTTCAGTTTCGGCAGGCATCTGATTCTGAAGATGAATATGTTAAAGAGAAAAAGAAGAAATCTCCCAAGGTCAGCAAGCCAGCTTTCTAGGAGTATTCCCTCTGTTAGAGCTCGGTGGGTTTGCCGCATGAAAAGAGTGTTGAAATTGGAAATAGAGACTTGTGAATTGATATGGACAGAACAGGGAGGGAGATGTACTGTCTCATAACTGAGCACTTCATAATCCCATTCTGTCCTCATGTTTGATGGTAAAAGGAGGATTGTTTGGTGTTTGTTAGACTGCGGGGGGAGTCGCCTGGTAGAAACGTTGGTGAGCACTGTCACTCTGAAGAGTTGCTTATTGCTGTGGGGGTGACACGTCACATTAGAGGACTCTTCTCTTTCTCATCTGAGATGTTAGAGGCTTCACTAGGCCAGTGATTTTGTTCTGTGGCAATATCTTCTGGAGATGGCTGCATTTTCACAATACCAAAGTGTCATGGCTAAAAGAGGAGATGGTAGGGGCAGTTCCTTCCCCTTTGTTGACAGAATCTTTTCTAGTGTAAAAACTGGGTGCACGGTAAAATGTTCAAGATGGTTCATGCCAGAACTGTGGTGATAGCCCTGTGTTGTTTGTGTTAATATGTCTGGTGGGGAAGGAGCTGTTCTCACACTACTGGCAGAGGGTCCAAAGTGGCTCTTGTGGCTGCAGCTCCAGTTCCATGTACAGGTAGCACTTTTGATTCTGACTCGGTTTTACTCCTTTCCAGAAGCGGAAGCTGAAAGATGGAGGTGAAAAAATGAAGAAGAAGAAGAAAGATGATTCTTATGACAAGGAGAAAAAATCCAAAAAGTCCAAGTTCCCAAAAGCTGGGTAAGGAGGAATAAAGGGTGCTTGCTACCTGATGCCTCTGTGGCATTTGTTATGCTGCATTAATACACGTTATGCTGGGGGTGGCTTGGAGGCATGCTGCATAGACAGCAGTGGGTAAACTGCCACTGGGGAGTGGGGAAAGGGAAGCTTCTGGTTGGGAAGCATAGCTCCACAACAAGAGTACCAGGGCAAAGAGGGGCACAGCTACCTGGAAATGCTGTTGTGTCTTGGAGCTCAGTTTAGGCACTAATGGTCAGAACAAAGATGGACAGCATTGGGGAAAATGAATATTGGGACAAAGTTGGGAAAGGAAGGGCAGGAAGGAGGGACATGAACTCAGAGTGGTGTGAGCCTTGGGCCAGCAAAGAGAAAGAGGTTTAAGGCCACGGGTGGTAGGGCTGGAAAGGAAAATTGTGTTGCCATTATTGCTGGCCAGCAGTTTGTATTCCTGCCCAAAGCATTTCTTGGATGGATGATCAGCTTTTCTGTAGTTTCTCTCTTTTGGGGCTGTTAACCTGAGTGGCTATTCCAGTCTGAAGGGCTGCTGTTAAACTTGTCTATACTTGCACTCTGGTTGACCTGATCTCTTAGTTTCAATTTCTGTATTTGCTGTCTTTTGCCACATTTTCATCCTAGTTTTTCCCTTCTTCCTGTAACTGTTTGGTTGGATTTGCTTTTTCCTGCATGGATTTGCTTTCTGACGTGGTGCAGTCAGTGTATGAATCTATAGTAGTAAACAAGGCAGGGGAATTTGCCCCAGTTGAAACAGAGACTAAAAGCTTCACATGGCTGTCACACTCCTGCTTTGGTTCCTCTGCACTGGTTGCTTGTGCATTTCCTATTCATCCTGGCTAGAGCAATGCATGTTGCCTTTCTGTTCTCTAAGTACTGTTCCATGGGCAATAGTCAGTCTGACAAAGGAGTTGTGGGACAGGTGCATCAGAAAGCCTAGCAGATGATGGGAAAGGAACTGAAACTTAAGTGTGCTGAAATTGGATAAGTGAGCAGCTGATAGCTAAGTGGGTGAGAAAGAATGACAACATGAACTGAATGGAAGTGCTCCGTGTCACACAGTGCGTGTGAGTTTTCAGCCCTCCTGTCTCACCTTAACTCTTAGCTATGGCCTTAGTAGGACTTAGTTTTTCTGCTGTAATTGCGTAAGGGGATAAGATTTAATGAAGCACTGGTGCCTGTGGCTGGAGTGAACTCAGGTGTAGGTATCATTGTCTCTTTCCCTTGCTCTTATTTTATTTCTCTCTCAATTCCCTCTCTTCTTCCCTTCTTTGTTTGCAGCTTTACGGCATTAAATGCGAGTAAAGAGAAGAAGAAGAAGAAATACTCCGGAGCTCTCAGTGTCAAGGAGATGCTGAGGAAGTTTCAGAAAGAGAAGGAAGCTCAGAAGAAAAAAGATGAAGAGCAGAAAGTGGTGACTCCTTCACCAGCAGAGCCTCAAGCCCCAAGGGAGGCAGAGACGATGCCCGACCCGTTGTTATCACTCTTTGGTCATGCCAGTGACAGCGACCTGCTGCAGGCAGCTACGGCTATGGACACATTAACTGACCTAGACTTGGAGAGACTCTTCAACGAATCCCCAGAAGGGAGCCCCCTTCACGACGTGGAGGATGGGAGCAATCCTGCTGGGGCAGGCTTAGAACAGGACTTCAAGCAGCTGCCATCCCTCCCGGAGGGGCTGCCGGCCCCTTTGGAGAAGCGTATCAAAGAACTGGCTCAGGTGGGTGGGTCGTTGCAGGCAGCAGGGCTGTGTGCTTGCTGGGGGCTGCCCTGCTGGGTTCTTCACCCAGGTGGGGAAATTTCACAGTGCCAAGCAGGAGCACAGCTTTCTGGCACTCGGTTTGCTTCTGTGCCAAGGCACTTCCTTGAATACCTGTGTGTCAGACAGTGGCAAAGCATTGGTCCTCAGCCCTGTTATCTGCTGAATTTCCCATTTCAGCTGTCAGTATGGGTTTTTGGCCTCTCTTGGCAAAGTAGGCACCTGATGCAATAGGTAATTTCTCAAGTCAATTTAACGCAAGTGGTCTTAAAATGTGAACTAATGGGGCCAAAGGACAGATTCCACCATAATAGTTTTAATGTGCTATGATGATCAGGGCAGTGTTTATGAAGAGGCACATGGAGTTGTGTATGTAAAACAGATGGGTGCAGCTGCAAAGCATCATCATTGCTGTTCTGCAGCATGAGAAGAGCCCTGTAGATGGGGCTTGAAGATTGGTTAGAGCTGTTCCCTCTGTCATATGCAAATGGATGCCTTCAGTGAGGCAAATACACGATTCAACAGCTCGCAGGCTGGAGGCACATTGCTGACAATTTGATTTTTGTTCACTATCTTTAATATCTCAGTGCTGCTTAGGAAGTGGAATATATTAATTTATAGAAGGGTGATGTCAAATTTTGCTACCTGTAGCTCCTCTTGCAGCTGGACTTCTGTGTGACTTGTCCATCTCCTCCAGAACCCTGTGATTCACCTTAGGATCTGCTCTTCTGCAGGGGAAGAGTTGGGTGCTGGCCAGGGATCCCTCTGCTGGCATGCCAGAGAAGTATGATTTCAGCCTGTAGACTCCTCTGATGTGTGAGGGCTGTCACCATCAGCCTGTCAGCAGATGTGAGATGTTTGGTTCCTGCTATTAGGCTTGTCTTTAAATATTGATTTTAAGTCATAAGCGGTACTGAGACCACTGTAGTGCTGCAGTTCTTTCTTCTGGAGATTGAGAGTGCCCATTACTTAAGCATCTCTTGCTTAATAACTCCTGTTACTGAGGACTAGCTTCTGCTAAAGATAACATTTCTCAGTAGAACGCAGTGAAGTGTGCACGCGGTGGTGAGCAAACAGAAGCAGAAACTGAAGAAAGTAGCAGCTGATGAAAAGAGTGGGCTCCTTCGTGGCTGTTGCTATTTGCTATTCATGCTGTGAACAGAAAACACTGAAGCACCTCCTTCTGAATTATATTTGACCTAAGGAACGATATTGCCGAATCTCCCGCAATACTAAGTTAATCATTATGCTGCTGCAAGGTGGTGTAATAGCAGGCTACCCCCAGATTTTCCTGCTGCAGTGTCTCATGTTGATGGACTCTGTACATTAAGATAAGAAGTTAAACATGAAATGCAAGATTTAATGAATTGAAGCCTATGGGTCAGTTAGGACTTGAGCTCTTTTGTGGGTTGGAGTGGAGGGCTGCCTCTCTCTGCCATGACAACCTTCTGTCCCAGCAGGTGGGAGTCACTCATGGGTTAAATGGACTCTCCAGGCATTTCATATCTTGCTTGAACTGATTTGACTGTAACCCTTTTCTTCCTAAAAGACTTCTCATGTTGAGGTTCCCATCAGCACTGACCCTTCTCCTTTGACATCACCAGCCTTCTGCTGGTGACCTGCTGCTGATGGAGATTGCTTCAGGAATGTACACACCTTTTGGGAATAGCTTACCAGCCTGAATCTCAGTATGTGAAATCAGGAGATGTCAAAATCCTTCTCCTTTGGTCCCCTTCCCCCTGCAAGGAATCACTGACCTGACGTGGTGCATTGTGGCAAATCCCACTTCTGTTTACATCAGTTCTGCTGCACACAGCAGACTGTGAACTCTGTGGCACTTTTCTGCTATGTCGCCCATTTCTTGGAATTATTTTTCTGTTGGCCATACTTTTCATGGGTGTGATTTCTTTGGGCAATGCTTTGCAAGCTGCTCTCATATCCCGTTCAGGAAGCTTCCTGAGCTATTTTAATTGCAATGGTGTTGACAGGAAATAACAGATCCCCTGTGGCTACGATTCTTTCTGTTTGTTTCTTAAGTCAGTGTCCAGATTGGCCTGGAAAACATGCTGATAAGTATCCCTGCCTCTCATTAAACGTGACTGGGCTGATCTTTCCTGTTCCAGGGACAAGCTCTATGTTCCTATTGCTCAATCTAACATTTCTTCTGGGAAGTGAAGACCATGTCCTTAATCTGTCCCTTCTTCCCATGAGAATAATGCCAAGGAAGCCAGTTGCCTCTAAGCCATCTCCTTTCCCATATTAAGCAGACGAATCTTGACTGTGCTGTTACAGCTCCACTGTGCACAACAGCAGCACACCCAGAACTCAGAATGGGAAGGTGTGTAGACATGACATGGCCATACCAGCCCAGGTGGTAGAGCTGGACTCAAAGTGAGGATGCCTAAGAGGTGTCTCTTGCTTTTGGCAGCTTTTAGTCCACTTACAAGCAGGTTGTTGGTGGAGAACTTGGTGAAGTAACTCTGCTTTGTTTTGCAGTAAAGGTTTTAAAAATAAGCTTCTGATTCCTTGTGCCCATCTATATTGGTGTATGAAATAATGTTGACTTCTATTTTTCAGGCTGCTAGAGCTGCAGAGGGAGAAGGCAAGCAGAAATTCTTCACTCAGGATATCAACAATATCATACTGGAGTAAGTGCTGTGTGGGTTGAAGATTGGGGCTAATGCAGGGAAAGGAGAACGCTGGGGAGAGCATTGCTTTTTGGTAAATTCAGGAGCAGGTTTAGCAGGAAGCGTGGGCCTTCCACACACAACACACCTGGGATATCATGAACGTCTCCTAGAAACAGCTCTCTGTTGTAATGTGTGTACATGAGGTAGGAGAAAACCGGAGGAGTTGTATCTAAGCCTCCTGTTTTCAAGCCAGTGCTTTGTATTCATGTGCTTAATATTTTCAGCTTGACACAAGAACAGTAAATCTCTTCCTGCTGGAGATGTCAGGCACTTTCTTTGCTATTTATGTGCTATATGGAATATTTTTTTTTAAGTGGAACAACGCTGCTGTGTTCAACTGGTATTCTGTAAAGGTGGGAGGAACTCCATTACTGCTCTGTATCTTTGGGTCCACCAATTGTAGAAAGCCACTGCAGTTTCAAGGAGCTGCTCACAGTAGCTTTATTCTTCTTCAAGTGTCTGGAGAAGGCTGATGAATGTGTACAGCTTTGTGAACATCTCAGTGTAATACTTCAGCCTTAAGGAAATTAATGCCTCTGTTTATCAAGGCGCTTGGAGGGAGCTGCTGACAGGAAATTTGAGAGTCTGCTTGCCTCTCCTTTCAAGTGGTGATTGCTGCCTTTCTGCATCCCAGTGCTGACTGCACAGGCACTTCTAATAGGTTTTAAAAGTAATCATTTAAATCCCCTGTGGAAAAGGTTAAAATTAATTTATATGGCTTGGCAGTAGAATCAGCTGTGATGCTTAGAAGTGTATTTAAAAGCTAATCCCTGAGGTTATACGTACCTGTGTAGATCAGTTGGATGTGCACTGACCTCTCTAGCCTGGTCACTGGGGAGTAAGTTCGAGCCTGAGGGATAAAGAAATCCAAGCCACAGGTGGAACTGAACTTGGCAAGGGATGTGAAAAATAACTGTAAGAGATTATACAGGTACATTGGTCAGAAGAGAGAGGCTAAGGAGTGTGTTGTACTTCCTTCTGGAGTACTGCATCCAAACCTGGGGCCCCCAGAGCAAGAAGGAGAACTGTTGGAGTGGGTTTGGAGGATGGCCACAAAGATGCTCGGAGAGCTGGAGCTCCTCTGCCATGAAGGGAGCTGGGCTCATGCTGTCTGGAGAAGGCACCTGAGACCACATTGCAGCCTTCCAGTACTTAAAGAGAGCTAATAAAAAGTCAGTCTCCTTCCTGTTTACACAGGCAGATAGTGATAGGACAAAGAGTAATCATTTTAAACTAAAGAAGGGAGATTTAAATTGGTATTAGAAGGAAATTCTTTACTCAGAAGTGTGAGGTGCTGGCACTGCTGCCCAGAGCTGGAGGTGCCCCATCCCTGGAGGTGCCTGAGGCCATGGATGGATCCCTGCAGGGGCGAGTCTGTAACACAGAATGGCTTGGGTTGGAAGAGATGATTTTGTGATGATTCTATGAATTCACCTTGTACTTTTTCCCTCTGCCTTCAGCTCCCCGGGTTGCATCAAAGTTGCCTTTCTGTTGTTTAAGGAACCCATGCTGGATCTCCGCTCAGTGTTTGTTTGTCTTGTTTTTCAGCATAGAACTGCAGACCCGGGAGCTGAACAGCCAGATTCGGTCGGGGGTGTACACCCACCTGGCTGCATTCTTGCCTTGCAGTAAGGACACCCTGGTCAAGCGTGCCCGTAAGCTTTATCTGTATGAGCAGGTGAGTGATGTTGGTAGCACAGCCTTGTCTCCCATGCATGTTACCCTCCAGAGCACAGTTACTGTCTGCATGATGTGCTGCTGTCCTCCGCTCAAGCACGCTTTGGTTGCCTCATCTGGTGGCGTGGGTTCAGAATTGGCAAAGCCTCATCCTGCTGAATTTGGGGGTTTTGTCTGGAGCACAGTTTGGAGCCTCGGTCTGTTCTGTGATGTTCTCTAGGGTGGACGACTGAAGGAGCCTCTGCAGAAGCTGAAGGAAGCCATTGGTAGAGCCATGCCAGAGCAGATGGCGAAGTACCAGGAGGAATGCCAAGCCCACACTCAGGCCAAATTTGTTAAGTAAGCTCATAGTTCGCTTGTTATGCATCTGTAGCTCTTCTCAGCAAGTTCCCTGTAACCTGTAAACTGCTCTCATGAAGTTTATCACCTATTTTTTTTTTCCTGCATTCAAGAATTGCTGACAGCCATTAATCGCCCTAATTAAGCAGTGTGTGTTCTTTGTACTATCTGTACTGATGCCACCTACAGCAGCATTGATAGGACCAGAATTTGGCTGAAGTGTTTCACTTCTGCCCAGACATGTTTTTGGAAACGTGTCAGTCTGAAAGCAGACAGGCTGGATCTCTGCAGTCTCTATTACATAGTATTGGGAAGTTCATCAACACTGAGTGCTTAGCTCAGCTTCCACCATCAGCAGCAGGTTTTGAGGGTTTATTATCACTGATTTGTGAGACTTCTGAACAGTGTTGTTGGGAGATTTATCCTGGTTTTGGATTAGCCAGGACGATGACTTCCGCACTGTCTTCATCTCTATTTTAGAATGCTGGAAGAGGAAAAGGACAAAGAGCAGCGAGATCGAGTTTGCTCTGATGATGATGAGGATGATGAAAAGGGAGGGAAACGCGTCACGGGACCACGAAAGAAATTTCAATGGAATGATGAAATAAGGTTCGCATAATTTAGATATTAAGTGAACCTGTGACTTGCTTCACTTCCAACTGCATAGAATAAGACACTTCAATATTTGTACCTTGGTTTCGGAGCAGTAATAGTCAAATTGGAAGCTTGCAGTTAGTAAATCTCAACTTGAAATACATTGCAGAACTAACCCAATTTCAGGTGCAAGCCAGCTCTGAGAGAAGTGCTAAGAAGCCTCTATGTGGAGGTCAAGAGAGGGGACAGATCTTTAGGAGAAGAAGGAACGTGACGGAATGCTGAAATCCCACCAGCTAGGACTCTTAACAAGATCAGATTTCTGGTTGTGAAAACAGTTTTAAACTCTTGGGAGTTGCTGCCCTTGTGCCCAAGGGTCTGACAGAGTGCTGGTGAAAGGGAGAATGACGCAGGGTCAAACGAGAATCAGTCATGCTGTCTTTTTCATCTTATTCTAACAAACTGGGATGCTGCTCCATAGATGGCCGATACATTTAGAACAAAGAGGGCTTCACTTCCTGCCTTCCCATTGCTCTCAGCACAAACTCCTGCAAAGGAGTTCAGGTCTGCAGCTGTTCGTGACGCCTGTAATTCTGGCACTGGTTTCACCACCTCTGCTGTTTCAGGATATTACGGTGGGACGGAGCATAAGGCCTTTCTCCTCTGGCTCACTTGTGTGCATGCATATGCATACAGAGAAATGTGCCTTTCCCTGCCTCTTTCTTACAGAGGCAGTGCAGGGTTGACTTTTTTTGTTAGAAAGGTGTTTGGAATGCCTGGACTCGAATCCTGCACTTGGCTGGCTACAGTCTGATCCAGAGTACTTATGCACAGCCAGGCATGTCTTGGCATATTCATCCAGCCCTGGATAAGTGGAATGACCTCCATCTGGGGAAAATGAATCCAAGTAACTGTATTTGAAATCTTCCTGTTCTTCAGGGAGCTGCTTTGCCACTTGGTGAAGATTAAATTGGATGGTTATGAGTATGACAAGAATAAGGCTCAGTCTCTGGAGGATTATGTGAAGACCTTCCTAGATGGAGAGGTGAAGCCCCTATGGCCAAAAGGCTGGATGCAGGCCAGGTGAGCAAGAATAATGTTGTACTTCAGGGATTCCGTATCATAAGGGACTTCTGAAGGTCGTTAGTCCTACCCCTGTTCAAAGAACAGCTAGGTTCAAAGTTAGGTCAGATTGTTCAGGGCTGTGTCCTTCTGAGTTTGGAAAGTCTCTGCGGATGGAGGTTGCGACAGCATCTCTGGGCCACTGTTCTGATACAGAGTCACTTTTCACAAGTCTTTTCTCTGTATTTTCAATCAGAATTGCCTTTGCTGCACTGAAATGACTCTCATCTTTGTTTTTTTTTACTGTGTGCCTTTGAGAAAGGTGCCTCTATCTTCTTTGTGACTCCCTGTACCCAGAACTCTTTGGCTAGTGGAAGACTGCTGTTAGATCCCTCCTTAGTCTTAAGGTTTTCCAGGCTAAGCAAGCTCAGATCCTCCAGCCTCTCCTATGTCATGTGTCCCTATCCTCAGTGGCTCTGGACTGTCTCCAGTTTGTCAGCATCTCTCTCGTATTGTGTGGGCCCTGAAACTGGACACTGTACAGATGTGATTTCACAAGTACTAAACAGAGGAGAATAAGCACTCGTACTGTTAGCTGTGGACTAACTACCAGAATTTAGTTATCTTCCAGCAGTATGCCCTTCAAGCAGTGAGTTCCGCTTGTCCTTAAGGACCTCAGGTTCTTTTTTGCTGGCCTGCTTCATTGCCAGTTGGCCCTGAGCCTGTGTGTCTGCATGGGGTTATTCCATGCCAGCTGCAGGACTTGTGTTTGTCTTTGTTGAACTTCTCAAGGTTTTATTGTCCCTTTTCTCCTGTCAAGGTCCCTGTGAGTGGCAACCCTGCCCTCTGACACTTCCCACCCCATTTTCACCCTCAAACTTACTCAGAGTCCAGTCTGTCTGTTGTCCAGGTTGTTAGTGACAACGTTGAGTGGTCTTGGCCCTGGCATTGGCCTCTGATGGATGCTGCTGGGTGTGACAAGTTATGAATCAGAACTGGCACTGAGCTGAGGCCTGTAGTTTCCTGAATCTGTATCACCAAAGACCTTCTCAGACACTTGGGGAAATCTTTCCTAGTCCATAGAATATTCCCAAGAGAAAGCAAGGTGGAAGGCTTTAGCAACTCTGGGACTTGCACAGGCACATCAGAGGCAGCAAAATAAGTAGGAATTGGGAAGGAGTAAAGACAATCACATTCATGTCTTGATTGCTGTTTCCTGCTCTTACATGCCGTCTATCATCCTTGCCACTGAGCTGATGATTGCAGAGAGCCACACAAGTTGCAGAGTGTCATTCTATTGAGAATGTCATCAGTTTCTGGCCTGCCTTGTTTTGCTCACTAGATTTAAAACAATGACAAATGTGCAGCCCTGCTGCTGGCACGTCTGTCTCTTTGCACTTACAGAGCTGGATAGCACTGTAATCTTTTCTCTGCTGAACTTATTTTTTTGATTTAATGGGTACCAGCTCTTAAGAGCAGTAAATGTGAGAAGCAAATTACAAATCCATCTGGAAAACTACCATGGCAGTTTACTGCAGTTGCACGTGTACCTGAAGTGCAGTACTGTGCATGTTTGTAGTGTGCTGCTCAGAGTGGGAGCTAAATGATGGCACTAGGAAAAGTGGGCGCAGACTCCTCCTTAATAAAGACGTTACCAGTTTGGGGGTGGTCTTAGCTCACCAACTTTAAAACCTCTTTGAATACAAGAAAATGAAAATCTTGTCCCTGAATTTGTAGGTAAAACTGTTCTTAAGCATACAGGTGTTCCTCCAAGAATTGTTGCAGGAGAATCTTCCAATGAAGCTGACTGCAGAAATGATGGAAGAAAAGTGGATTCCCTGACTGCTTCTCAGGGGCTAAGGGACAACGGTTTTTCTTTTGGGGCTTTTTGTTTTAAGGACAGAGGCTAGCTTGCCAGCCAGGCAGAAGTGGAGGGGAGGTTTTGGCAACACTACAGGAGAGCTGTAAAAACTTTTGTGGGCAAATCAGCTTGATTCGCTGCCAGTGTGAGCACAGAAGTTCATCTTTAAAAGGAGCCTCAAGGTGAACAGAGTATCAGCTTTGTGTTTGAGTTCAGAGAGACTCTGCCATGATTCTGTTTCCTTGGTTAGTACTAAAAGGCAATCAACATAAGACTGTAAGGTTAAAATATGTGGGCTTTTTAAAAGAAGATGGATGGCAAAAGTCACTGCCTTAAAAACTGAGTATGTTAATAGCAGAAGGAAAGCATGTTCTTTATGCCAATATTGGTGGTATGTTTATAAGCTTCTCACCTTGATGTCTTAGAAACCAGCAGAGTGGCAGCTGTTGTAGGTGAAACAGTGCTTGCATAAGATTCTGGTTTACATAGCCTCAGAAATAATGGCTTTTGGCTGAAGTTCTGCTTATTGGTTGTGTCTAGACAATTGAAGAAACGGTTGTGCTGATTTGCAAAGGCACTTCTGTTTTTTGGGATGCAAAGGCAGCAGCAGTGCAGGGTATGAAGGCTTCTCATCCATATTGCTGTATATAAACCAGGAAAGGAAACCTCTCCCCCTTAAACGTGCTGAAGAGTTCCTGGATGATCTGCCAGCTCTTGATGACCTCTGGCAGCAGCAACACTCAGCCTGAACGACTGTGCTGTCTCTCCAATTGACTGTCAGCTCTTTGGGCTGGCAGAGCTCATTTCTTAGCTACTGTCCAACCCACACTGCCTTAATGGCCCTTTCAGCGCCTGCAAGCGTAGCTCCCCAGAGAGGGGATGGAGTGAGGGAGTTCAAGAGGATTTTCCTTGAAAATGGATGAATATTTATTTGCTTCCCGTGGTTTTAATCTCACTCAGTCCCCTGCTGTACTGTGCAGCTCTGTCTCCAGTGATCCCAGCTGCTCTACTGGGTTTGCTGGATATCACTTCTCATTGCTCTCTTCCCTTCTTAGGACACTGTTTAAGGAGAGCAGGCGTGTACACGGACACCTCACATCAGTCCTGTGAGTATCGTGCAGCGTTCCTTTAGAGTGATAACTGGTGAACTGCCTTCCCTGGGGCCTGGGTGGATCGAGCAGGAACACCTGAGCTTGTTTGCCTCCCATCAGACAGTTTGGCGCTGCTTCGTTTGGAAGGTCTAGGGAGAGAGGTGCTGTGTGACATCTCCCAGCAACAGCCTTCCTGAGGAGCCTGGGCCTTACAGCGGGCTCAGGGAATGATCTTTGATGCCAGGTTGCCTCCTGGCCTTGTTCAACAGGCTGGAGTCAAGCTTCTGTGCAAGGCCCTGGGAGATAGTTAAGTAAAATGGACTGTGATGCCAGCACTGTGGTTATTGCCACCTATTCAGTTAATCCTTACTGGATTCTGGATTCCCTCTTCCTTGTTGCCAGGTTAAAGCAGAGGTACGATGAGCTCAAGGCACTGAGAATGGGAGAAACAGAATTGTGGGTGACAAACCAAGGGATCTATTGGAATCCAGCTGGGCAGGTGCCTTAATGCCTAAGGGTCTCATGAATCTTGCTGGCAGCACATAACAGACGATGATACAGATTTAGGCTGATATCTGTTAGACAGATGGTCCTGTTCTTGGCATCGGATGAATGAGGGGAAGTGGAGAAAGGGTTTGAAATAGAACGTAGAGTCATCCTTTCCTCAGCCATACCACTCCAGCAGCTCAGGGATGTCTTGTACCAGAGATTGCATCTGACCAGACCAAGTGATCTATTCTCCATGAATGTGGCAGATGCTTTTGCATCCTTGACTTCTTCTGGGAATCTAAAAGAAGCGTGTAGTTTTTCTCCAAAAGAGTCTGTGTATCTGTTTCTCTCTGGGTATTGCTATAATTAGGTTAGCAGTGGGCTCCTGTAGCTCCTGGCCCTGCAGCTGGTGCAGGATGTGTCTGTTGAGTGCTTTCACTGCTCTGCTACCATTTCAGAATCTCTGCTCTGCTTCCTAAATCATTCCCTTGTGTGGGAGCTGGGACTTCCTAGGGCAGCAACAAATGTCATACGATTTTGAATCCTAGCAACCTGAGATGCTGCCTCTTTTCTTTGCAAAAGCCTCAGTGGATCATCATTAACAGGGCACCTGGTTGGATGCTTCCCTACAGGCATTCAGTGAACCCATGTTTTCTTTGTCTCCCTTAAAACAGGGCGAAGAAGAAGGTTGTTGCTCCTACTAAGGTAAAGGGGAAGGTGAGTCTGTTTTTTGCTACACACATTTGATACATCCCAGTAGCTGAGAGGCTGCCATCTTAGGTCCTGTAGCTTTATGTCTATGCATAGATGTAAGGAAGTTGTATTCTTAAACAGCAGCAGTCTGCACTGTGCTTGAGGAGAAAAGAACAGCAGCTAGATTTGATGGCAGCAGGAATACCAGTCTGGAAGGAGGGTACGTGTCATTGGACAGGCATCACACCTTTCATCTCAAAATCCCTCCCTTCTCAGCATTAGATTCTGCCTCTGTTTTGACTTTGCTTTCTGCTGTCATTTTGTTCCAGGAACTCTCCTCCAAACCTGATAAAAAGGTGGCTGTTTCTGTCCCATCAGTGCATTCAGGCAACACCGTAGCTCTGTCATCGGAGTCCCAGGCAGGAGGTCTTAACATCAGTGCCCAGACCAGAGAACTCCTGTCCCTTGGGACAGCACAAGCAGCCAACAGCACTGCTACTCCTGCTGCCTTCATGGACAACTCCTTGGACGAAGATTTAATTCATAATCCTACTTCCTCCCTTGAAGCAGTCTCTAAGGAACTGGCTGTGTTGAACAGCAGGGCGGGAGGGAGCCCCGACTTTCCTCTTCCTGGAGCTCCAAAAGCTCCACCTGAGAAGATTCCAACTCTTGCATCCTCAGAAGAGAAGAGAACATTTCCAAAGGCCCACCCTGCCCCTACGACGTCCTCTGCTGGTTCCCTCCAGTCTCCTCTAAATTTCCTGGCTGAACAGGCCCTTGCATTGGGCCAATCTTCTCAAGACAAAAAGACAGAGAACTCTAATTATAAAGAGCTCTCCTGCCAAGCCTCTCCCAGCAAAATCCTTCCTGATATGCATCAGGCTAAACAGAAGCACCACAGCCTGGTCCGACCAAGCCATGGGCCTCAGACCTCCACCTCAGTGCCAGGTACTCAGGTGAAGGTTTTCCACTCGAGCAACCAGCCACAGAAGACTTTCACCTCTCCTGCTCCATTTGCCAAACTGCAGAACCCCAAGTCCTCCTCCCCGTTGCCCCAGCGCTCCCTCCTCCAGCAGGTCAAGTCATCAACCAAAGCCCAGAGCTTCCATTCCTCTGCCACCTCAGGCAGCACCCAAAACTCCAGCAGTTCTCACAAAAGCCCAGGCTCATCTTCATCATCTCTAAACTATACAGGAAAGCACTCAAGCAGCTCTAGCACTTCAGGACAATCCTACAAGTCACCCTTTGTTTCTGGATCACTCTCCAAGCACGGGGCTTCTTCCAGCAGCTCCGCATCGGGAGCGTCTGCAAACCAGGGCTGCTCCTCTGGGAACCTGCTGCCCAGCATGCAGACCCCTTCCTCCAGCCAGGCATCCAGCCGGCCGGCCCTGGGCTCTGCAGTGAAGAAGACTCCTGTCTCACAGAAGCTGACTTTAGTGGCACCTCCTGGAGGATCAAATGGAGATTCTAGTGGGGGCACTCAAGGGGTGGCCAAATTGCTGACCTCCTCCCTAAAGCCAGCTGTCGCCAGCAGCGCCGCATCTTCTACCTCTGTGCCGGTAAGCAGGAGCGTGCTGACCTAGCCTGATGCTAGGAGAGCACATGGCATGGTGTCAGGCAGTCTCCTGACTTGTTGGGACCTGCTGTCAAGTGGTGACTTTGAAAGAAGTTCCTGAAATTCTTGAATGGCTGTCTGGACTTTGGCTGCTTAGGTTAGGAGGACTTGGCCTTTGCCATGGGTTTGCACTCCAGAGTTCAAGCTTTCGTTTTCAGCTCAAAGTAACAATCAGAATACTCTGGTACCTTCCAGACAGCAATTTTTGGGCAGGCTGTGTAGTGTTCTTGACCTGATGTTGTGAGTTATGGAGACAGTAATGCTGCCACCTAAGGCAGGAGGAAGCGTGGTAAGGCAGGTAGCCATGAGAGCTAAAACCATTGCATAAACTAAGATTATAACTGTCCATTTCTTTAAAATTAGGTCTGCATCTTGACCTTCTTACGTTATAATTAATTTTAGTATTACTGGCACTTTGTTTCACTGCTGCTCTGCAGAGTAAACAATCTGTGATACTGGGCTTTAAACTCAGAATGCCAGCCCGTCTACTTCTGTCCACATTCTGTTGCTCCCCAGCCACTCCCATGGGTAGTGAAGTGATATTTGGAACTCAGCTCATTGGCAAGCTGTGAAACTCAAGGTCTGACAGATCAGTGAGATATAATGCCCTGTGCAGAACTCCCGGGATACCTATAGAAATCTGTATTATCCAGGCATTGTATTTAATGATTTTCATCCATAGACATTTCTAATGCAGCTGTATTAGGTTCTCAGCTGCTCAAATTGGCACTCTTTTGTGGCACACAAAAAGAGCAGGTCAATAAAAATGAGTCTGTTTAAATGGGCCTGAAAACCACATACTGTTCAGCTTGTGCACCCTGCCTGTTACCAAGATAAAGAGCTGAAGAGCACTTCCCAGTGGAGCAGAGTTCTGTGGGAGTGATCTCCAATAGCATTCTTGGGTAAAGAGGTACGTCAGGCTTTGGTGCCCTGATTTGACAGCAATTATGTGCTGTTGAAAGATAATAAGAAGCTTCCTTCCTCAAACTCGTAGGCAATAGTTCAGCTTTTCCTCTGCCTGTTGGAGGCATAGTTCCAGAGTAGAATAACAGGCTCAGATCCAGTATGGTCACATTAGAAGACCACAGCATCTAGGAGCTGGGTTGTTAGTGTCCTGGGCTCCTCTAGGTGGCCTCAAGAGTTCCTTGAGGCCTTGGCAGTTCTTGGGCACAGCTGGGAGGGTGCTTCTTGCAAGGAGGAATTCTAGAGTACTTTTTGGTTTGGAGTTCTTCAAGTATAAATGTTGACATGCCTTGCTTTTCCGCTCCTGACTGACCTTTTCTGTTGCTTTTCAGAAAGGAACTAGTGGAGCTGTGCTGCTAACCAGTTCTTCCTCCTTAAGTGTACTGTCTCCATCCTACAAGTCCAGCAATCCAAAGTTGCCAGCTGCCCTGAGCTCCACCCCTTTAGGTATTATCTCTCCTATTCATACCTTCCCTCTTCATGTCATCTCCTTCACTTCAGACTCCTCCCCGAAAGCAGGAGTTTCAAAGGATGCAATAGTTACAGGACCTGCTCCAGGAACTTTCCACCATGGCCTTGGCCACAGTGAGTGCACTCCTGCTCATGCATGTGTCTTTGTGCCTGTGCTGTTAAATAGCAGAGCATTGGCATTCTTGTTGTGTTAACCCATTGCAGACAAACTCATCTCTCTCACTGTTGCTTTGTGCCGTAGTTCATGCGCTTATACCTCTAGCAGTTGCATTTGGAGAACCTTGGGCAGATCCCTGTAGCTAGCCCAGAAGTCCCAACAGCTGGAAACCAAGCTATAGGCTTAAACGGCTGCAGCTCCTCTTATCATTTCTGTCTTCAATGTGTATTTGTTCTTTTTTTTTCCTCTCTCCTTTCTTTGTTTTTCTCTCTAGGTCTTCTGGCTGGCTTGCACTCCAGCCCCCACCATGCTGCGCCACTCCCACATTCTGCCCTGTCCACTCATTTACCGCAAAGTCTGCCAGGTAACTTGTCAGACACTCTTGTTTGTCTTCTGCGTCGTGAGTCACCCTCTATCTCAGCAGGGTGACTTTTAGGGGTGAAAGCAAAATTCCTGTCCTTGCTGTCTGACCAGTGCTGTCTGAAACCTGCGGCCTCCCCAAGGTTCAAAGCTAGGCGTAGCCCTCTGTGTCCTTTGCTGTTTTGTTAGCCAGCACAAACGTGTGCTTCTGAAATGAGGAGCACTCACTGCTTGGAGTGAGCACCTGGAGGCACTTAACGTTGCTGCTTGCGTCGTGGTAGAGGCTTGTTCTGTTAGGATGAAAGCCATGTCTCTTTATGCACAGTCTGCCAGGGCTGCCCGAAATTGAATATGCTGCCTGTGTGGAGTTTTGTCACTGGTGACCTACATAAAGTGTGTCAGACCAGAATGTCTTGCATCCGTGCGCTGAGCTAATTGCCCACATCTCCTTTACAGTGAGGGATGCAGGCTGTTTGCCTTGGTGCTGACGATGTGATGATTTTGCAGTTAAGCCTGCTCCTCCCCGTTTGATGCCTGCAGGACTGATGCATAAAACAAGAGATGTCCAGAGAACATCTCTGCTGATAATTGGAGCTCTGCCTGCTGTGGTGCGGTGGGTTGCAAGTGTTTGTAAGAACTGCAGAGGAAGGAGAGGAGAGAGGAATCCATTCAGCATGCAGGAAATGGAAATGAAGGGACACCAGATTGGGCATGTCTGCTTTGGTAATTGTGCCATTGGTAATTGCTGCAGCTGTTTCTGATCAAGAGTCCCTTGGGTCCTCAGAGTGGTTCAGCACGGCTGTCTTAGATTCTTACCTGGGCGGTGTGAGTCTGATGTGGCAGTGACTGTGCTGGCTTCATACTGTGGCACTGAAGCCATTAGTAGATGCGTGGGCACACTGCTGGAGGTGATGTGGTCTCCTGGAGCAGTCCATGTGAAATGCCCTTGGCTGCTGAGTGTTTGTTGGAGAAAGAAGAGACCGCTGGTGAAAATGGGAAGAATTCCTCTCCTTTGCTTGTTTTCGTGGAGTTTGTGTGGGGTGAGTTGTTGGGTCCCTCCAGGTGGCAGAACAGAAGCAGCCCCATGCAGCAGTTGCTGTGTGACAGACCTTTCCTTCCTGTTTCTAAACTTCCACTTGCTGGAGAGTGAGGAGATTGATTTCGGTTTGAACATGTGAAATGTATCCTGTGTCACTGGGGAGGAGTTCTTTTTCTCATTTGAAGGAATTTGGAGCCCTCACTTGGTGTTTTCACGCAAACATTGAAGACTGAGCACAGCGCAGTCTTCTCTGTCAGTATTACCAATTTGTGGTGCTTTGTTGAAGAACAAAATGGCTTTTTTTTTTTTTTGGCCACCGTGGTCTTAAAAGATCTCCTGTTTCTTTGGTGGAAGGAACTGTAGCTGGCTGTACAAGCAGATAGCCACAGCTGCACTGCTCTGCCTGAAAGCTGCGAGCTAGCGTTTGGGAGGTTGCTACAAATGCAAGGAACTGTTGATGCCTTATGTGCAGGTGCTCATGGCAGCATTCATCAAAAAGCATTTGAGCAAGGAGCATCCGGTGTGTGCTTGCTTGTTGCTGCTGCATTTGCTGACGGGTGTTCCTGCGTGCTGTGGCCGTGGTTGTTCCAACTGCTTGCTTTAGAAGTACTGTGTGCTGGGACTGCAGCCTTGCATGGAATGAACTGTCCTTGTCCTGGAGAAGGAGCTGTTGCTGCCCTGCTTGGTGCCACTGCTGCTTGACTGCACGTCTCGGTACATGCATTTGTTCACTGTGATCTGGTGGTAGTTTTAATTGTTCCTGGAGAATTCTGATATGTTAAACTACCTTACTCTTTCTCTATTCACTGCATTTACTCTTTTTCCTTCGTGTCCTCTCCTTTTTCTTACTCCAGTGGTTAGATTCCTATGACTCCTGTTGCTATCAGTGGGACTTCATTACAACAGCAGAGGTCTGCTGAGTGATACTCAAATCAACTGTAGATGCTAGGCAGCAAGCACCATGAGTTTCTAGTTTCCTAGGTGGGGAGACACCACAGCCTGGCTTTTAGAGGACAGAGATTGCCAAGCTAGCTAGTCAACCAGCCATCCGAACCTGTGCTGTGGTGCTTTTGTTGAGAGGCCACGGGAGACCCTCGGTGCTTCCTGTGACTGCAGCTCCGCTGCTGCACGCAGCTCGGCGGAGCTGATGCTGAAACCCTTCCCCATTTGCTTCTGTTTTCTTTCAGACGCCTCTCAGCTTCACGGCAAAGGGTCCAACACACAGCAGCGGAAGTTGTGACGTCTGCCAGGAGGGGAGCTAGAGCACACATGGGATAAACCCGGAGGAGCTGTTAGTTCATGAATACCGACCGTGTCTTCTACTCAACGACAACTGGAGAGACTGAACTTCAACGAGGGCTTTGTTGGTGCGTTTGCTCAGAGGTTTTCAGAGTAAAGCCCCACACCGAGGGCCGCCTCGAGCCACGTCCCGATGAGAGAAGTGTTTGTAGCACTCTTGTATTGCTGCTGCCCTTCACGCATTCCCTGGCACTGGCACGAGCTGGAACTCACACGAAGACTCGGGTGGCCTGGCTTCCCTGCAGGAAGCCTGGGGCTGCTGGATTTCCACTCACCCGCGTCTGCGTCTGCCAAGTACCTCCAAGCCCAGTTACCTCCTTGGTCTCCCTGTGGAGGGTATGAAAGGTGCTTCTTTCTTTTGCTTTGGATTTACTTGGACAATTCTAGCACTGCCAGTGCTTTCTGAAGACATTTCACTGAGATTTTTTTTTTTCCAATTGTACTATTAAGCTGTGCTACACTTAATAGGAGGACTTAACATTTCCTGTGCGGTGAATCTAACGAACCATCTGATGTTCCCCTCTGGAGGAGAAAGAAGACTCTTTAGAGAGACGCTTCTAGATGCACTCATGGACGTTGAGAATTCTACATCTTTTGGTTTTTGCAGTTATTTTTTTTTTTCCTCCAAAGGGATGCTTTTTCCTGCTCAGTTTTATCCTCATTACTGTTGAATGCATTGGATTGAATGGGACACTTCTCAGCATGTCACGTGTATAGGAAGACATAATTCCAGTGCCTTTTATGGTGGAGCAAGAATGGACTAGTGACACACATTTCAGCCCTATTTTATGTGCTCCTCGACCCTTTTTAAATCATTCTGTATTTAAGATGTATTCTGTTTATTTAATAGAGCTTTTTATGGTTGCACATCAAAAAAGCTGCACTGTCTGGACTTAAATGGTGTCTTGGTGACTGCGAACACAGTACCAAATCCAGCAAGAGCACCAGTTCTTATCAGAGTTTGTGCAAGCGGGTTCCAGACCCTCCCCTAAAGCCATTCTTTCCTAGGGTTGTCAGTAACGATCTCTTTAGTGGGCAGAGGGAATGATCTAGATGAACCAAGGTCACTTATATTCAAATGAATTCCAGAGAAGAGTATTGCTCTCCTTGATGATTTCTGCACTAGAATCATGCGCTTGTCCCAGCTGCAGGAATGGGGACCATCTGGAGTTGGGGGTGCATCATTTTGATTTCCTAAGATGATTTTTTAACTCTTAGCCCTAAATAATTCTCCCCTGAGCACACCCTTATGAACTGTGTATAGCTAAAGGCAGGCTGTGGTTCCAACTGAGCTTTGTGGGTTTTATTTTTCTGCTCTCCCCAGTCTCTTTTTCTCAGGCTCCTGGAGCCCACATTTGAATCGTGCCACGGTGGCACTCATCTGCATAGATTTAACTGGTAGTTCAAGGGAAAGTCTGCAGCCTTCCTCCTAGAGCTTTCAGGTAGGATGCTGGCGCTGTTTATACCAGCAAATATCTGCTTTTGTTTTCCCTACTTTTTTGTATGCTCCGAGACTGACTGTTCTCAGTTTGAGCTACTATGTAATTTTCCAAGATCACTGCATTGTTTATATATATATATATATATATATATGTATAAAAATGCAGCTCAGAATTAAAAATCTGTTTACAGAAAATATCTAGGTTGTAGCAAAAGAGCCAAAGACAAGAACTTGTGTGACTAAAACGAAGCACAGCAGTCATCGTTGGTCTCTGATCAGTGGATGTCGCATGGTTCCCGTTGGAGGCCTCATCCTGAGAGGTGCTTTGCACCTTCAACTTCCCATGGTTGCTGAAACAACAACAGTTCAGCAAACACCTGGCAGGACAGGGACTCGCAGCGAGTGACCCAGGGTGCTGGTTCTACTCCCTCTCTTTGCTTTCACTTGAATGCTTCTGCTGGGAGGCACCTGTGTGCATGGCCAGAGCAGAACGCCCTCGTTCTAGGAATATAGCGAAGCCTCTTGCCTCAGGGAAATGTTTATTTGGTGGAAATTCTGTGGGATATATTTTTTTTTTCCTCTTTTCTTTACATGCTATAATGAATGAGTGAATGGTACGGAGCAGAGCTGCAGCAAGGCAGAACCACGCGGAGGCCTGACAGCTGATGGGGAGCCAGGGCTCTGGCCTCTGCCTCGACGAGGCAACGTGCAGCACTTCCGTGACAGCGTGGGGCAGTGAGGCTCCCATAGCACTTACTTTTTAGGGCAGTTCCTTTTGGATGTAAGAGCTGCGGTTTACTATTATATTTTTTTGTGTGTGATGGGACTGTCTTGCTGAAGATGATGGGGGTGGTATGAAAACTGTTAATCTTGTACAGAATAACTGAATAAATTGTTTCAACGTTTCCAAAATGCTTTTTTTCCATCTTCTTCCCTCTAGTTTTCACCATTTCGCTTTCATGAATTTGTTTTAGCTTGGTGATCATCTCCTGACCATCTGTTTCTCGAGTGACTAATTAATTAATTGCCTTCTAACTAATATCTCTTACTTTGTAAGTGCACTACGGCTCCGAAGCCATTGTGATGGTGGAATTGTTTATGCTTTCCTATTCAATGCTTTTGAATCATGGAATGGTTTGGGTTGGAAGGACCAGGCATCTGCTGGAGCAATGGCATGATCCTGTGTGATCCAGTCATTTACAAAGGTAAAATAATTGCACTGATCTCCAAAGCCAAGATGGATGGTCAGTGAATGCTCACTGCTGCTTCTGTTGGTGGCAGAGTTTGCTGGGGCTCAGGTATTGCGCTTACTGGAAGGAGAGGCATCACATGAAGAATGCAGGCTGATTGGGGCAGAGCTGGATGTGAGTATGGTTAAAAGGCAGCTCTGCTCTGCCGGAGCTTTTGCTGTGTCAGGTGGTGACATAATGTGAAAAAGATCCTGGGGTTTAAATTTTGATTGTCTGCATGCCTACAATCTGGTAGGGAGAGAGAGAGGGGAGAGGCTCCTTGCCCTGGCAAAGCAGAAATTGGGGTAAAGGAAACGATTTGTTGCGCTCTACAAGTCTCCGGTACCATCCCAGCATAAATCCCTCTTCCTGTAGCTGCAGTCTCACTTGGTGGTGCAGTTCCCTCCCATCTAATGCTAATGCTGGGCCTGGTCAAAGGAACAGTCCTATTTATTGATTTATTTTTAACATTGACTCTGAACTGGCATCTTCCTGTAAATCCAAGGATCAAGAGACCGCCGTCGGCAATAAAGGAAAACAAGCACCTGATTGGAACCACTGCATGTTTTTATTTCATACTATAAATAGAATTCCCCTCTACTTCCCGTTCCCGTACACAAGTAAGTGAGACGTGTAGCTGCTGTAACTCTATTCCATAAGATACCAGCACGAATGGCTCTCAGCCCCGAGGTGAGCTAAGTGTGTTTTGAAGGCACTCTGCGTTTGGTTACGGTTGCATGCTTTGCACCAGCATCTTGTGTTTGGCACTGCTGTCGGCTCTTCACCTGCTTCTTGGTGAACTCTGGTATAGGAATGCTCCTCCTGAATCCAGGGCTGACACCATCAAATTGCTGTGCTTCATTTCGCTCTTGCCCAGCAGCATCAGCACGCCGGTGAGCAAAAAGGTCTCGGTGTTGATGTGATGATACCAAAGCGAGGTGTGCATCACGCCTTTTGCTTACAGAGCCGTTTATTTCCGAGGATAACCCCATCATTTGGTTGTCCACAGTCAAACTGCATGCCTTACCAACGTGGAGCTGATGCACCCAGCTCTTGCTGGTCACCCCAGAATCATTTTGACCTTCAGTCTCTCTAACATCTGTGCTTTGCTTTTTTTTTTTTTCCTGCCTTTGTGGCTGTGTGTTGAAGAAACTGCAGGTTTGGCTGAGTCTTTCGGACTTCAGGTACTTCACTTGTTTTCAGCTTGTCATCTTGTTTGTCGAGTGGTTGGGTAGGGCTGCAGAGAGGGAGAGAAGGTTTAGTTGTAGCCTTGACAAACGTGTTTTCCACTACTGGCGGTGCTTTTCCGCAGCGTATGACAGCAAGCAGTGCGGCTTCATAGCGCGGCTGGGCAGAGGCTGTAGCATTTCGGAAGACGCAAAGGAGGGCGAGGATTTGCAGTGATCTGGTAGTCTTAACGAGTGGTGCAGCTCTGACTCGCTGCCTTTAAGGGAAGGTTCTAAAGTGGAGCGAGCACTGGGTAATCGCTTCCAGACACCAGGACCGCCAGCTCCTGAATTGACATCTGCTTGTTGAGGTAACTGTTGTACTGGGCCGTGCTCAGTCTGCCGCTCTTCAGGGCATCTTCGATTGAGAACTCTCTGCCTGACTTCCTGTCGAGGATCACGGATGATTCCCCGTTCGGCCCCTTGATCGAGATCTCTTCCCAGTCGCATTCCTGACTCTTCAGCTTGACGAAGAGGCTCCATTCGATGAGGCCGAGCACGTGAGCTTCCTCTGGAGACATCTCCTTGCCCGTGTCCGGATCGATGACCACAATGGAGCGCCTCAGGTGGTTCTCTCTTTGCTCCCTCTTGATAGCCACCGTCTTGAGGCGGTTCTGGAGCTGCTCGATCTCTGCATCTTTTTCTCTTGATAACTGCTTCAGATCATCTAACTCTCTTTCCAGAGCTTGGAATCTGGAGTCTAGGTTTGGTCCACTGTCCACGTGGGTCATGTTTCTCAAATCCCGAGCTTCTGTTGCTGTGAGTTCAATCTCTGATTGCAGCCTCCTTGTTTCCATCAGCAGGTTTTGCTTTTCAAGGTGCAATTTGTGGTTTTCCTCTCTTAGTAAGTCTAGTTCCTTCGATGACTTAGAGTTGTTGAATTCCACCTCGGACAGCCTGGTTTCAAGCCTATTGATATCTGCATCTAGCTCCCTCTTACGCCTGCTCTCCTCCTCCAGGTTGCTCTTCAGCTTCTGAATCTCATACTCCGTGTCTCCTTTGTCCACTTGGACACTTTCTGAAAAGACAACTTTCTCTTTGACCTCCATTTTCTCCAACGAAAGAAGCTTCTTTCTCAAGGCTTCCAGTTCAGTTTGCAAGACTTGTCTCCGGTGTTTTTCTTCTTCTAGCTCCAGCCTGAGGAGGGAGTGCTCCTTCTCTTGCTGGGGATCTTGCTGAAGGATCACTTTCTGTTTCACTGTTACTCGTTCCGTCGTTTCCCTCTCTTGCTCTTCTAGCTCGTTCAGCCTAATCCTCAGCCTCTGCACTTCCAGTTCTGCCTCTCTGCGGGCCTGTCTCTCCTTCTCCAGTTCTTCCAGTTGTCGCTCCAGCTCAGACCGCCTCCTCTGCAGCTTGCGCAGTTCTTCACGGAGGGAATCGATTTGTTTCAGCTCACTCTCGATGCTCTGCGAGAAGGAGTTCACTTCAGCTTTCAAGGCAGGATCTTGCTCGTACTTCACTACTTCCTGCTGGACCACTTTCTCCTTCACCTGGGAAAGTTCCTCCTCTTTCTGTCTTACTTTGTCTTCTTGGAGGAGCCGTTCTCTCTCCAGGTCAACGTGCTTCATTTGTTCCTCGGCCAGCTGCACTCTCAGAGATTCCACCTCCTCTCTTGTCTTAGGGTCTTCCCGGAACTGTAGAATTTCTTGAACAACTTCTTTTGTGTGCACTTGAGGTTTGGTGTCTTTCAAAGCTTGTATCTCTTGTTTCAGCTGGTAGATCTCAAGGTCAGCTCTTTCAATGGCTCCCGTCCTCTCTATGATTTCCTCACGGAGCCGCTGTAGCTCCTTTTCAGTTTCTGGATCATTCTTGTACTTAATGACCTCCTTAATGACTTCTTTGACTTCTACCAGCGGCTCTCTATTCCTCAGAGCAGCCAGTTCATTCTGACAGCTCTTCAGCTGTTCGTCACCACCCCGGTATCTCCTCTCCTGCTCTACCAGCTCCAACCGAAGGTTGGCAACTTCATTTTCAGCCTTAGGATCCGGCCGCACGATCTCCCTCACCTTCTCCTGGACAACCACCTTGGCGTTCTCTTCCTCCAGCAGCTGGATCTTCCTGAGCAGCTCGGCCTTCTCCCTCTCGTTGGAACGCCCCTTGGATTTCTCATCCTCGTACTGGCGCCGGAGCTCATTCACCTCCCTCTCGATGGCCACATCTTTCTCCACCTTCAGTACCTCCTTGACAGTAATCTTGCCCTCAGCGATGGCCCGTTCCTTCTCGAGGCGTTTGAGTTTCTCCTGGAGGAAGCTGAGCTCTTCCTCGTGTTTCTGCCTCAGGGCACTCTCCCTCTGCTTGTTCTCTTGCAACATCCGGAATTCCATCTCCAGCTGGGGATCGTTCTGCAGCTTCAGCACCTCCTTCTCTGTTACCTTCTCCTGCTCTTTGTTCTTCTCGCTGGACAGCACAGCGATTTGTTGGCGTAAAAGATTGACCTCGTTTTCCCTTGTTCCTTCCTGCCTCCTGAGCTCTTCCAGTTCTTCTTTGAGCCTCAAGATTTCTTCAGCTTGAGCCTTATCTTGCTCGATACGCAGCACCTCTTTCACTATATACTCCTGCCCTCCTTCCTTCTTCTCATGCTCCAAAACACGCAGCCTGATTTTAAGGGCCTCCAGCTCATCCTGCAGCACCTGGTTCTTGCGCTGCTCTTCTGCCAGGCTTTGCTGCAGTTTGTGGAAGCTCTCCTCCAGCTGCGGGTCCGGCACTTTCTTCACCAATTCCTTCTTAACTACGGTTTCTTGGGGCTTCTGGTTTTGCAGGTGGATAATGTTGTTCTGGATGGCTTGGATCTCAGCTTCTAGCTGTTGCCGACGCTGAGTCTCATCCGCAAGCTCTTTCTTCAACTTCCAGACTTCTTCCACAGGCCTTACGGATTTTTTGGTCTGGATGAAGTCTTGCGTCACCTGAACCTCTGGCTGCTGTGGTTGAAAAAGAGCGTGTAGTTAAGCACCAAGTAAGCTCATTCGGTTATTTGATTTTCCATTCACTCCTGTGGCAGTACTACAGGAGGATGCTGATCTGGGTTAATGGAGGCTGCCTATTGCAAAGGCTCAACAGGGCCAATTTGCAGATGGGCTTTTCTTGAACTGCTCTGTGGATTTCTGGCCTGGAAATCGCTCTCAGTGATACTACCTGTTGCTGACCTGACAAAGCTTTAAGCTGAGAGAGATGCAATTCTGGTATGAGCAAGGCATAAAGAAAGCGTTAAAAATGAAACAGTGCTTCCAAGGATGAGTGGAAAACGTGGAGAGCCTGTGCCTGATCCCAGGCAGAACTCTTCATTGAGGTGTCTGCTGACTGATGGGTTCAGGGGTATGAAATGCTAGCTAGATTTGTTTCCAGTTCAGCTTGTAATAGCAAAGGCACGTGTGTGTGTGATTCTCATATTCTCTCAGAATCACACTGCCACAGCCTGTTGCAGCTGTGTCAAGCTGCCCACCTGCAGCATGCAGAGATC